AGGGAAGACAGGGAGGGGCAGGCGAGGGTGGGAGGGGAGGCAGAGTCTCGGGAAGACCAGAGACAAGGAGACGCAAGTGCATGCACGAAGGCGCTGCAATGAGGGGTGACCAAGACGGTGGTGCCAAAAGGAGGGTCCGGTGCGACAGTGCCGCGACACGAGCAGGGGGCCGCTAGCTGACCTGACGCAGACGTAGACGCAGTTACCTGAGGAGACACAGTAGTCAGTCTGTACAGACTCGAGCCAGGCGCACGTGTGAACGTGGCCAGGTGCCGGCCAGTCCGGGAGCACGTACAAATCGCCACACGCTGTTTTCCTGAGTAAAGGTGTCAACCCATACATCCTGAAGGACGGCGTTGCTCACCAGTTCGTAGAGAACGAGGGGAGGTGAAGACCTGATAGTGAGCCAGACGGAACCGCCGGACACGGGAGAACAGTGGAGGAACGTGCAAGGACTGGGCCCCCAGAGGGGTTGGCCAGAGAGACAGCAACAGGTGTAGGGAGCGGTGTGAGTGTGGTACTGTCGCGAAAGAAACAGCGGGAAGCACCTGGGTCAAGCGTGAAGGTGTGCAAGGCCTCAGCAGGCGCAGTACCAGAGAGAGCAGACTCACTAGCACCTAGAGCAGCAGCCTCACCAGCACCTAGGGAAGCAGCCTCACCATCACCTAGAGCAGGAGCCTCTATACCCGGGTCTGGCGGCATACACAGGGAACAGTCACCCTCAGCACTAACAGTCAATGCATACATGGCAGCAAGGATAGCATCATAATCAAGAGCAAAGATATCAACACCCTGCCTAAGCAGCTCTGCCCAGTGGGGGAGCTCAGTCGCGTCGGGAAACTCTGCACGAAAGGCGTCGGTAAGACGGGAGAAGCAGTGGTGCTGTGTGTGAGGCTGCCCGCATGTCTGACCAGTGCGGTCACCTGTGCGAATGACATACGGGCAGCGACCACCACCCCAAGAAGCCCCACGCTGAGCAAACCACTCACGAAGCTCCTGGGGCGAAGGGGTCTCACGCTGACGCTGCTGCTGCTGCCTCTGACCACCGCCAAAGCCTCCCCTCTGACCGGTACCATCCCGGCCGCCACCACTGCCGCCGCCCCCACTCCCACCGCCGCCACTACTGCCGCCGCCACCACTCCCACTGCCACCTCCACCGTCGCCACCTACGCCTCCACCCCCACCACCACTCCCTCCGGCACCACCGCCACCTCCACCGCCTCCACCACCCCCACGACCACCTCCACCGCTGCCACCCCCACCGCCCCTGTCTCCCCCTGCCCCTGCCACAGCGGCGCCTCCAACTAGGGGCAGACGCAGCTCCTACCTACTCAGCACGAAGGTAGTCAACAGCTGCAGCAGAGGCGACTGAGGGGACAAGGGGGGAGGGCGAACACCCCTCAAATAAGGGAGTGCAAGGAGTGCCACGAGAAGCGCCTACAGCGACTATGCTAGTCTCAGCTGCTAGGAGGTGCTTCTCGAGCAGGTCGACAGTGAGGTCGGTGGGGTCAAGGGCGAGGAGGAGGTCCCTGACAGCGCTAAGAGAGTCAGGGAGGCTGGTGACTATGAAGTAGAGAGTGATGTACATGGGAGGAGGGTTCTTGGTGAGAAACTCGGCGGGAAGCGCAGCGCGGTAGCGAGTGTCACTAGTGCGAAGGTGAGTGACGAGGTCGGCTACTGTGGCAAAGGCGGACAGCTCTGGGAACAGGTAGGGCAGAAGAAGGCGGCCTAAAAGCAGCAGTGGCAGGGGATGAGTAACGAGCGACTACAGCGTCGTACAGGGCTCTAGTAGTCTTGTGCTGGCCAAAGTGAGCACGCTCGGCTAACGACAGGTGGTTGCGAACGGCTAGGCGAGCAGCAGCGTCACGGGTAAGCCAATGTGATCGAGTCGCACTGTCAGCTGTGTCGGGAGGGGGAGAGAGGCGCCAGACGTGAGGTCAAACAGCGAGACACCGTCCTTAGAATCGCTCAGTAAGTACAGCTGCAGGTCATCTAGCCACGCGTCGAACTGTATCGGACGGCCCTCCGCATCGAACGAATGTACACTGAGAGTGGCCATAGCGGGCAGAGCAGTAGGGGCGCGCTAGCAGCAGGGCAGCACGCAGGCAGGGCAAAGCATGGCGGAGGCCCAGCAGGGCGACTCTCAGGCAGAGGAGGGCAGGGCGGCAGTCAGCAGGGCAGGGTGGCGCGGCTGTTAGCGGCGCTCAGGCAGGGCAGGGCGGCGCGGCCAGCAGGGCAGTGCACGGGCAGGGCAGGGCAGGGCGGATGCCAGCAGGGCGGCTTGCAGGCAGGGGCACGTGACGAGCAGGTGGCAACAGTGCAGGGCAAGGCAGGGCAGCCGCGCGTGCAGAGCAGCAGTGCGGAGTAGGGGCAGGTGCACGGGCAGAGCTTACACGTGCAGGCAGGGCAGGGCAGTCGCGCTTGCTGGCACTACACTGTGCAGGGCAATGACAGTAGTGCAGTAGCAGTAGTAGGCAGTCGCAGCAGTAGGGCAGCAGGGACAGCGGGCCGCGAGATGCAGGGCCAGTGCAAGTGCACGGGCGGCAGGGCAGGTGCGCACGGGCCTGGCGCGGGCTGTACGGACTGCGTGCGGGCCTAGCGCGGGCTGTGCTAGCTGCGCGCGGGCCTGGCGCGGGCTGTATGGGCTGCGTGCGGGCCTGGCGCGGGCAGTACGGGCTGCTTGCGGGCCGTGCGCGGGCTGTACGGGCTGTACGCGGGCGGCGCGCGGGGCTGTATGGGCTGCGCGAGGGCGGCGCGCGGGCTGTGCGGGCTACGCGCGGGCGGTTCGCGGGCTAAACGGGCCTGGCGCGGGCTGTACGGACTACGCGCTCGGCAGGGTAGGGCAGATTTCGGGTAGGAAAAAAAATCGAAGTGGTGGGGCCCTCTAGAAAAAATGGTCCTTAGGAAGGACCCGCTCTATACCATGTCGAGAAGAATAGTTGTTCATTAGGTCAAGGGGAGGGGTACAAGAGCAACATCGAGTGAAATTGTGTACCCCCTAGTGCTAACACCCATATAGCCTAAAGAACATAAGCATATATGTTTTGACAAGCCTTTCCAGCCGCAGAGCCAGCAGAATGGCCCACAGCCTAAGAAGCCGTTTCACAAGGGTGGCCAGCAGAGGAACGGAACTCCTTTTTGCACCTACTGCAAGAAGATGGGTCATACGAGGGGGCAGTGCCGTACGCTGAAAAAGACTGAGGATTCTGGCAAGCCGCAGCAGGCGAACAAGAAGGGAGATGCAGGACCTTCAGGCTCGCGCCAGGATTATCACAAGTCCAAAGGATTCTGGCAAGCCGCAGCAGGCGAATAAGAAGGGAGATGCAGGACCTTCAGGCTCGCGCCAGGATTTTCACAAGTCCAACTAGGGTGTGGGTACCTAGCTGGACAGGTAGATCGAGGTGATGAAGCTTACGTCCTTCGTGACGATGATCTATTAAAGTTAGAGAAACTTGCTGAGTGCAAGTCTCTTGTTTGTTTGCTTCTTCTTTGAGTGAAAAAACTGTTTTTCTACCTCGATTGCACCCACTTATGTTGGTGCAACCCTACGGTTTGCACTCGGCTTGTTGTCCGTGTGCGTGAATGTGTGTGTGTATGGAATGGTATGAGGCATGGGATAATATATATTTCATGCTTATAATTGTGTGTGAATGTTGAGTCATGATGTCGAGTGTGTGTGTCGAGTCAATAGCGAGTTATCGCTAGACGCGTGTTACGCGGTCGTTTGTGTCTCGCGCGCGGTTTCTATTTTGTCGTGCGCGGTTTTCTATTTTGTCCTGTGTCGAACGTTCGGCGTGTCGCAGGTGTGGTGCAGCAGACCCATCAAGAACTCAAGAATGAGTTTGTGATGAAGAGCCCGAGCCTTGGTGTCAAGCCTCAAGCGATTTCGAAGCTTGCCAAAAAGGGTACACCTCAAGATATTGAAGATAGTTACATTACTTTGTGTAGTGTAACATTTCACTTGGTGTAGGCCCTAGTGAAGGGTAGTTTCGAGACCCTTCGTGGTTGGGGACAGTGTGGCACTGTTCCACATCACTGTACCTCGGCTCTTGGGGTTTGTAGGAGGTGGGAGTCATTCCCAACTCGTAACTCTTCCTATCTTGTGTTCTAAGACTATAGGGGCTGCCATAGTACCGTTCGTTCAAACCGACCCTGTGTCGTCAATTCTTTATCAAATCGTGCAATCTAAATTGCTAATTGTAGACGACGTGAAGACGCTCCAGATCCAATTTGAATCAAGTCATTTGCAGCTGTGAGCAGAACGCTATCAACGTTTGAAGCCGCTGTGCAGAAATCCGTCTGTGCTCTCTATCTTTCGTTTTAGGCACATTCAAGCCTATTGTGACTATAACAAGTGCTATCAGAGCCCTTGGAGCAGTTTCGACAATGTCTGGACCTGAGGAAAGGGGTGGCAGAGGTGCTGGTGGCAGTGGAGAAGCTCAAGCTCAAGGCCAACCCCGTGATTCAGCCATGGCGCCCATGCAACCAAGTCTTGGCCCACCTAGGGATGAGCCTAGGGTGTTTGGGCTTGACAAGTTCAACGGTGACAACTTTGCTGAATGGATCCTTCAAGATGGAGAACATCTTTGACCACTATGACCTGCTGGAGGTGATGGAAGGAACGGAGAAGCGCCCCGAGAACGACCCGGAGAAGAGCCCGTGGGTGCGGAAGAGCGCACAAGGCTATCTCTTACTTGGGCAAGCGTTGGGGAGCAGTCAGATCCGTCACATCAAGCCATTCCAGCGTGAACCAGAGAAAGGACCAAAGGCATGGGCTGCTCTCAAGGGTGTACATGCTCCTGCAACAGCGGCGGTAGCGGTGGTGTTGGAACGGCAAATGGCGGCACTACGAATTGAAGAAGACGAAGCGGTTGAAGAAGGGGTGCAGAAATTCTTCGACTTGTTGACGCGGCTTGAGGGAGCTGATTTGAACTACAGTGAGCTCCAAAAGAAGACCAAGTTGCTGGCCTTACTCCCAGAGTCATGGTCCTCGCTCATCATCAACCTTAATCGCGACTTGCCCCGCCTCTCGCTTGAAGACGTGAAGCGAGCTATCCTTCAAGAGGATTTCCGCCGCCGTGAGTTGGCGAGTGCGGATGGTGCTGGGGCAGCGAGCATCGGCCGTGGATATGGTCGAGGAAGAGGCAGAGGACGAGGGGGAGGAAGGTTTGGTGGCAGCAACTTCGGCGGAGGCCGCAGGAGTGGCGGTTACGGCAGCGACGACAAGAGCTACGGACGCGAACGCGGCCGATTCGACGGCGAGTGTCACTATTGCCACAAGAGCGGACACATGTGGCGCGACTGCTACAAACTCCCTGATGGTTGGACCCCTGCTCAAGGCCAAGAGGGTAGAGGAGCAGGAGGAGGGAGAGGACGAGGCCGTGGAGGCCGTGGCGGTCGCGGTGGCGGAGCTGCAAACATGAAGAGCGGAGGACAACGACAAGGACCCGAGCGACGATCGATACCCGGGTCTATTCTACTTCGTGTCGACGCAAGTACCGGCTGGTCCAGAGAAGGATGAAGGCTTTGAGGAGCCAGCAGCTGTGGGGAAGGTGACCCTACACCCCCTGGGACTATTGGGTGATTGATAGTGGCGCTACCTATAGCATGACACCTCGCCCGGACTTGCTCACCGAACTCGAGCCGTCACCGGTGAAGCATGTCACATCGGCTTTGGGGCAGCGAGCAGAGGTGAAAGGCATGGGCAAGGCCATGTTCAAGGGTGCTGATGGGAAGATGGTGGGCCTCAAGAACGTGCTTTGGGTGCCCAGCCTTGCTGCAAACCTGATTTCCGTGCGGCGGTTGGCAAAGGCCGGCATGGACACGAACTCGAAGGGAGCCAAGACCTACACCGCAAGGCTTGGCGATCGAATTCTTTGGGACCTTCATGAGGACAGGGATGTCTACAACGAGATGTGGCAGATCCCAGTGGTCCCTATGCCTAAGGAGAGGCAAGTGGCAGCAAGCATCAGCACCAAGGATGGAGCGGTCGGTAGCGACGATGGCGCGAACGGTCGCGCTAAGGAGAATGAGCTCAAGAAGAGCAAACCTGGAGGGACCAGCAAGTTCAGTGAACCTAAGGAGAGTGGTGCAGCAACCAAGGAGCAGCAAAAGGGTGAGGAGAACCCAGAGGCAGCAGCGGAGGAGGACTACGGAGAGAGTATGTGGGGCGCTATTGCGAGCGCGGCATTCTCCAATCCAACTTCGGCTACGGGGGAGTGTGATTGGCTCACCTTGCATCGGCGCATGGGGCATGTGGCCCTGCCCATCTTGCAGCAGCTAGTGAAGAATGAGATGGTTGCTGGCATACGTGTGAAGGGGGAGCCCGATGAGGTGCTTGGCTGCCCGACGTGCATTCAAGGCAAGTTCACCCGGTTTCCGTTCCCTAGTTCGGAGGCAACGGCAAAGGCACCGCTTGATGAGGTGGTGATGGACGTGGTGGGCCCCCTGAAGCTTGGAGCTGCTGGAGCTGAGTATTTTCTCACCATTGTCGACGTCTACACCCGCATGACTTGGGTGTACGTGCTGGCCAAGAAGAGCGACGTGGCTGAAACGTTGAAGACGGATTGGTTCCCGATGGTGGAGCGGCAACAAGACCGTCTAGTCAAGTCAATCCGCACCGATCGAGGGGAAGAGTTCCTGAGCAAGGAGTTTGGGTTGTGGCTGAAGAAGAATGGTATTCGGCACTCCCTCACCATGCCATACTCCCCTGCAATGAACGGCATCGCCGAGCGAGCGAACCGCACAATCACGGAGGCGGCACGCGGGTTTGCTCATTGAAGCCGGGCTACCCGACTATTTCTGGCCTGATGCGGTGCGGAGCGCGTGTGTGGCCAAGAACAGAGCCTTGACTCATGTGGGAGCAGACAAATGGGTGCCCTATGTGGAGTGGCTAGGAAGGAAGCCAAAGGTGGATATGCTTCGGGTGTTCGGGTGCATGTGCATGGCGCTCGTGCCTAAGCATCTTCGGCACAACAAGCTTGGTGCCAAGGCGGTGTGGGCCGTGCACTTGGGCATGGCTCAAAACAGCAAGGGATGGCTTCTTTGGGACCCATTCAC